GGATATTCAGCAGTGGGACTTGACCCTATGGGGCCCAAATGACAGATCCAGGGGAAGATGGAACCACAGATGTAGATAAGACAGCCCAGGAGAGGTGGGAAAAGTGACTGGGGAGAAGAGAGCAAGACAAAGCCCCAGAAAAACAATCAAGAGTCAAGGAGGGCGGGAAGATAGATAACTCAGTCAGGAGAGCACTGACTGCCCTGGAAGTGAGTCCCATCCCTAGGGGCCACATGAAAACAAACAAAGCCAGGCTTGATGGCACGTGGTTGTAATCCCGGTGCTGGGGAGGAGACGGAAGGGTCCCTGGGGCTCTGGTCGGGAAGCCTAGTCTACTTGGCAAGTTCCAGTTGAGACTGCCTCAAAACTAAAGAAAAAGGTGGACAGTGCCTGAGAACAACACCCCAAGTTGATATCGTGCACACACGCACATGTAGGTGTGCACACATACATATGCACACACAGGAGTGGGTACACGTACACACATACATATGCACACACAGGAGTGGGTACACGTACACACATACATATGCACACACAGGAGTGGGTACACGTACACACACACACACACTGAGAAAGTGGAAGAACTGACAAGGAATAGAAAAGGGGAGAAAGGGGGTGCCATGGTGCCTCAAGAAGAGAGGCTTCAAGGAGATGGGGGATTGACAGATTCTATTAACCAAGCAAGAGCAGACAAGAAAAAAAAAATGCAGCGTGTCCCTTAGGCCAGCCACGAGGTCACAGTCACAAGTGAGTATGGCCACGGGGGAGGGGACTGAACGGCAGGTGACTGAACAGATTGCAACAGGACCCACACTACTTTTGGTTAAGGAGAGGCAATCCTTATTTATACCTTGTCCAAGGATGACACTTTTCAAAAGTGGATGACTCGTTGGAGAAGAAGCCGGCTGGGCAGGGTTCACACACAGTATCATCAGTCCCTGTGGCTGGGAGCATGTGGGGAGGATGTATCAACGATCTCAGTGGGTCACAGTGTCTGACTCCCAAGGGAACCAGCAGACAAGCAGGGCAGGAAAGAGCACCTGCCTGCTCCTTGTCTCAGTGCAGTGGCCGCCCCTTAAGGCTGCAGCCCCGCAGGCGTCTCCTTCCCCTTCCCCAGGAAGTTGCCCATAACCACAGCCAGAATGCAAAAGATTCCATTTCCTGTTAACCAGAGGGAAGATGCCAGTCCAGGTGGGAGTCTCTATCCCCTCAGCTTCTGGGGAACCAAAGGCTGACTGCTCAGTCCCGGCTCTTCTCTCCCACCCACAGCTGCTTCCCGGGGCGGGCGGGCCACTTACCCATCTGCTTAACTCCAAAGCCAGGGCCACAGGATGTGTGCAGAACACATCTCCTGCACTCCTTGCTAGTGCAGTGTAGACCTTTCTTACAGGCACAAATGGTGTCTGTATCCGAGGTGCCCTCCTTCTCAACCTGAAGCCCTTCATCTGAGCAGAGATGAGAAGGAAGAATGGGAAAACCCCCTGGGCCTCACTCGCTCGCCAAGAGCCCTACTTCCCACACCATTTCGTTTTCCTACTCTGACTTCCTAGGAGAGATGACGATCACCTAACTAACTTATTCAACAGCCCAAACTCAACCCAGACTCCCACCCACCAGGACAGACCCTGGCTACTGAAATCGGAGGGATGTCAGTGTTAAGGAATATCAACCCAGTTCTCAAGTGCACCTCCCCACACAGCCCCACGCACTGGATTCACAGTGTGTATGCTGGTAACACCGCGACTCTCTGTTCCACGTGTTCATGTATTCGCCTGAGTTACACAGAAGGCATTGGGTCTTGGTGACATCTGTGCAGTGGTTCACCAGTCTCATTCCTGAAAAAAAAAAAAAAAAAAAAAACCAGGAAGACGTGAGGCAGCTCACGCCAATCCTGTCCCTACCCGGTGAGCCAGGGCCTGGGGGAGTGGAGCTTGGGAACGGATATCTCAGACCCACGTGAGTGGGAATGATGGAAGACACGGGGCAGCCTGGCATCAAGGAAGGGGGTGGGGGTGAGTCATTTTCAGCCTTGAGTTCACAGTTCATACATGGGGTCTGCATCTGCCAGCAAACTAAGAGGGAAGGGTCTTGGTATGGGGCTGGAGGGACTGTCACCTCACCCGGCTGGCACAAATCGCAGCACTGGCCATTGAAGACGTACTGTTTGTCTGTGCATGTGTTGCATTGTCCTAGATGGACCTAAAAACAGAAGTGTGTAACTGGAAGGGATCTTTGACAGGCATGTTGAAAGTTAGCCAAGACATACACTATATAGCCCATGTAGAACTCTGAAGCAGAAAAGAAAGCCCCTGCAGTATGAGGTATATTTGATTTTTACTATACTGCCAAGTGGTGTGGTTATAAAAAGCATCCAGAGAGTCATTCGGCCATCTTACAAAGCAAGGACTCAGAACTCTCTAACCCAGATAGATGCATTTGACTCCTCAGGGCTCCTGAAGACCCGGCAGGAAGGGAGAACTCAAGCACTTCCTCTAGAGTGGGAGGCTGCTGGCTCCAGCTGGCCTCAGCCCCTTCTGAGTGCCACCATGGTTTCTGTCCCCAGCTCCACATCGACTGATGCTGCAAGGGTAAGAATCGTTCTGCAGAGGGCCACACACTGTGCCGCCACGAGGCTGAGACACTGGGTGAGGGCAGGTGCCCTCCGAGTTCACAAGAGGGAGCCCGATGCTCCTTGGAGCTAGAGCTGCAGGTGGTTGCCAGCTGCTCGTGTGGGTGCTGGGAACCTAACCCCAGCCCTCTGCGAGGGCCGCACATGCTCTGAAGTGCT